GCAGCTCCGTCTGGGGAGACCTCAGTCCTCGATGCCAGCATCCTGCTCCGGCCTCCGTGCCCAGGCCCCAGTCTGCAGCTCCGTCTGGGGAGACCCCAGTCCTCGATGCCAGCTTCCTGTTCTGGCCTCCGTGCCCAGGCCCCAGCCTGCAGCTCCGTCTGGGGAGACCCCAGTCCTCGACGCCAGCTTCCTGCTCTGGCCTCCTCTTAGGGCGGCCATCCTGGCACCTGTCTTGATCTGCGCTTACCTGGCGTGACGGCCACCACATCCAGTGTGATCTCCGCCCTGACCGCCGATCCCAGCTCAGACTCGAGGGGGGGTCTCTGTTACTTCTCTCTCCTCCCCATGCCTCCCAGCACACGGACCCACCCTCCACTCACCACCCTTCTCTCTTGTCCCCAGGAAGGGCCGCCTTCCTCCTATCGGGCACAGCCACCGCCCCCTGTGCTTGGCTCTTAAACCCTTGGCCTCAAGGGGGCTTGCCCCCAATCTACAACTGTTAGAATTGAATTGTATCCCCCCAAAATGTGCTGTAAATCCTAGCCCCTGTACCTGTGCTTACAATTTTATTTAGGAAGGGATTTTCGTTGTTGTTTTAATCAAACGGTATTAGCATAGAATATGTCTTAAATCGACCTTTTCTAAGACATAAAAGAGATTAAACTTGCAAGCCAGCAAGCAGAGCTGGGAGAAGACAGACGCCATGCAGTGCCACAGGAAGGCCACCAAGGAGCCAAGGAATAGATGCTGAAGAGGCAAGGACCTTCCTCCAGACCCAACAGAGAGAGAGTCTTTCCCTAGAGCCAGCACACTGAATTGGGATCTCGAGCGCCCTAAACTGTGAGAAAACATATTTTTGTTTGTACAGCAGCACTGGAGAACGAGGGCACCAACCTTCAACCTTCTTCTCTCCAGTCTGTTCTCAACCAGCAAACACGCCCACGTCTCTCTCTTCTCATCCTTACTTTTTAATTCTGCACCTCCTTCACAGACAAACTTAAACACACAAAAAACCATGAAAGACTCTCTCCACTCACCTCTTACTCACTGTCTGATCCCCGTACTCTAACTTCTGCCCCCAGGAAGCCACTGACACTGCTCTGCCCAAGGCTGCCACCATCCCTTTGCTAATAAACCAACGCGTCCCTCTTAGGCCTTATCTCAGTGCCTTCCCTGGACTCTGAGCACTGCACACCTTCTTCCTGAAGCACCCACTCCCCTGCCCTTGATCCTGGGTGGTGCATTCCCTCTTCCTGCTGCTTGGGCCATTTTTGCGTCCCCATCACAGGCTTTTCTCCAGCCTTCCGTGCCCCGATGTTCAGGGCGGTCTGTCTTGGGGGCGGTGCTTCCTTTTCTCACACCTCACCGTCTCCTGAGCCCCTCTCACCTATGCCTAGACTTCCACGGCTACCTGTATGTCAGCCACTCCAACACTGAACTCCAGCCTAGAATCCTCGTCCGAGCCCAGACCCACCGACACCGCCAACTTGGGTGTCTTCCAGGACCCTGCCCCACTGTTTGTCCCCGTTTTCTGTGAGTGAAATGACCCTCCACCTCAGTGCCAAACCTGAAGCTGTCTCAGCTGTCTTCTTTTTGATCTTCACGTCGATGCAGTTACCTGTTCTGCATGTGATCCTATCTTATCTCTGGGGTGTGCCCCCCTTCCTCTGCCCTAGTTGTCCCCCAGCTCAGGCCATGAGCATCTCCCGCTGGCACTGTGCAGCTCCTGCCATCCTTCTCATTCTCTGACACCCTGTTCTCCCCGGCAGACAAGTGGTGGTCTGGTTAGAACAAAGGCCTGACTGTGTCACCTCCAAGCCCAGGGGCTTCACTGTGGCTGCCCTGGCTCTCTGGGATTGGGCCAGCTGCCTGCCTCCCTTCTCCTCCCCTCCAACGCCAATACATTCCTTGGCTTGGTCATAATGAATTGTGTCTTGGTCTTCCCACAGACTATCCAGTCTCCCTCCCCTCCACAGGCTGCTCCCTCTACCCTGGTACCTGGCTAGCCCCCACTGTCCTCCAGGACTCAGCTCACACTCCTTTCTTCCAGAAAGCTCTCCCTGAGACCCAGGCTGGGCTAGATGCCCCTTACCAATGTTCCCACAGCACCTGGCCCTTCTTTAGCGGCACGTACCTCCTAGTATCGTAACTGCCTGTCACACTTGCTGCTTCTGCTATGTTGGGAGTTCCAGGAGGATAGAAATGTGCCTACTGTGTTCACGGCTAGAATACGATGTGTGTTCAGTAAATGGTCAAAGAAATATAGAGTGCTCCCTGAAGATCAAACAGTCCAGAAACACACACAAGATCCAGACCAGACTCATATACTGCCCCAGAAATACAGGAGAAAGTATGATGGAAAAGAAGAGTATTTGCTAGCCTGTGAAATGTTTTTAGGGAGGACAGCCACCAAAGACATCCTCCCAGATGCCAAGGGAAAACGAGATCCACATGAGCTTGCAGTGGACACAGGACGGTCAATTACTGTGCTTCTCAGACTCTCGGGCCAATGGGTAGAGGGTGAGGGTTGAGGTAGGGATCTGAGCTCCTGAGCAGGTGTAGCCTCATCAGCTCAGCCTTACCTTCATGTTGTCAGGGGGGTCCCCTTGGCCTGTAGTTGCACAAACAAATATCACCAAGGACTCGTTAATCAGATTCACCTCAACAAAAAGACAAACGTGTAAGACCTCCAGTTGTAATGCCCAGGCAACTTACCACCCCCCGCCCCGTCAGAGTGAAAGGGACTCATGGGGGCGCTTAGAGTCGTGGAGAAAGAAAAAGCACAGTCGAGCGGACTGCCTGTCTCCTCGCCTGCAGCCTGCACCCTCCTACCTTGCCCCCCTCCTCCATGCCCTAAGCTGAACTCCTCCTTCCCAGCCTCCCCTTCCCCTAAAACCGCCGGAATCGAAGGGCTCGCTCTCAGATAAAACGTGACGCCCCGAGTCCTGAGGGGTCAAGCACGCCAGGCCTGCTGGAGTCCCCCGCTTAGGCTCTCAGGGGCCCTCACCACTGGGTAGGAGTCCAGGGCCAGCACCCGGCAGTCCAGCCGCCGGCGCCGGGCCTCGCGGCCCAGCCTCTCAGCCATATCTTCGGCTGTTCCAGTCTGGCTTCCGAAGAGCACCAGAAGCCGGGCGCTCGACATCCGAGGCGCGGCTTGGGGCAGCTACACGAAGACAGACCAGCAAGAACAGGCAGCTCTCTCCGACGGCGGCTACAGACTCTAACTTCCGACTTCCGCCGTCGGCCGGAAGTGACGCCCTCGGACCGCGCCCGGCGGGGCATGGCGTCTGAACGAGGTGGGTGTCGGCTGGCGGCCAGTGCTTGGTCCTGGGCCGGGACTGGGGGACTGGCGGCGCGCCGGGGCCAAGGGCCGGGACAGGTGGGTCCGCTCGCTGCCTCTCGCGCGCAGCGGCGGTGGCAGGCTCTGGCGAGCCCCGCGGGTGGAACGATCGGCTGGACCACGGCCCGGGGCCCGGCCCGCTGTCAACCGGCAAGATGCTCTTCTCGCTCCGGGAGCTGGTGCAGTGGCTAGGTTTCGCGACCTTCGAGATCTTCGTGCACCTGCTGGCCTTGTTGGTGTTTTCCGTGCTCTTAGCACTGCGTGTGGACGGCCTGGCTCCTGGCCTCTCCTGGTGGAACGTGTTCGTGCCCTTCTTCGCCGCTGACGGACTCAGCACCTACTTCACCACCATCGTGTCCGTGCGCCTCTTCCAGGACGGAGAGAAGCGGCTGGCCGTGCTCCGCCTCTTCTGGGTCCTCACGGTCCTTAGCCTCAAGTTCGTTTTCGAGATGCTGTTGTGCCAGAAGCTGGTGGAGCAGACTCGGGAGCTCTGGTTTGGCCTGATCACGTCTCCGGTCTTCATTCTGTTGCAGCTGCTCATGATTCGCGCTTGCCGGGTCAACTAGCCTGCAGAGGGGCCGGGGAGGGAGCCCTGGACAGCTAGAATGCTGGACTCCTAGCCTGACCCTCCTTCCTCTGCACCATCGGAGAGGTCTCTGTCTGAAGACAATACCCAGTTTTCTTTACACCGATCGTGTCTGAAATTATTCCCACAGCAGGGCCAAACAGACCAGTCTTGACCCTTAAAATGCATTTCCTATTGCTCTCAACTTTGAGCTGCAAATCCTGGGTTGACCTGAGAAGGGTCCCAGGCCAGAAACGCCTCTGACTGTTGGACGTTGTATGTAAGTAAAATGCACTGATGGGATCTGAGTGTGCCCTGCGGACCCATGGGAAAGCACCCCATCCCAAGGCTGCAAAGCCGGACTCAGGGATTTCCTCTGACCAGCAGTGCTGACCTGGGAGCTTACCTTCCTGTCTATCTAGACCAGACTTCATTACATGCTTGAACTCTGAGAACTGTAAACAAGCTGGTGCCTCCTCTTCTATGGGACGCGGAGGAGGGCCCTTTCTTCATTCCAGCCAAGGCAGATACAAGGAGTATGTTGAACAAGAGCACGATTGGGACCCAGAGGCTGGGTCGCCTGAGAAAGGAACTCTGCTTTCAAGGCTCTGCTTGGCTCTATTTCTGCACATATTACAGTTTCACGGACTTCCCGCCACCTTGTGGCCGGCACTGTTAGCACACCTGAGGCAGGTTGAGGCTTCCCCAGGTCCGTGGGGCTGGCGAGAGGAACAGGTGCTCCGATGCTCGTGAGCGTTGAGACCGACAAACATGCAGCGTGTGAGTGGGCCTCTGGTCACTAGGAACTGAGCCTGGCCCAGGCTTACCATCCCAAGGCTTTGGTCTGATGCCAGTCAGGTGCCAAATGAGAACATTTGCTGACAGGAAAATAAAATAAATGTTTTGCTGAAGTGAATAGTGAGTGCCTCTCGAGGGTTAGACAAGGTCGATGCTGAGGTGCTCTCTGCTCTGTGAGATCACTGGGCTTACAGAACAGCTCCAACTCCCAGATTCTTCGTTCGGAGAATCCCTGATCCCTGCCTGGGGGTGGTAGGGTGCCCCCCCCCCCAGGGTGAGGACAACAGTTCGGCCTGTGTTAACCTGCTGAGTAGCCTGTGTGACACCAGAGCCTTGGTTGCAGCCTGCAGGCTGTATCTGGACAGCTGGTGTGCTGAAAGTGTTTTATATTTATAGAGTTGTAAAAACAAAGAAGTATATGTGGCAGAGCGACTGTGGCCCACAAAGTATGACACAGTTGGCACCTTAGCCCAGATAATTCTTTGTTGTGTGTGTTGGGGGGTGCTGTCCTGTGCACTGGATGTTGAGCAGCGTTCCTGGCCTCTACCCACTAGAGGCCAGTAGCATCCCTCCAGTTGTGGCAACCAAAAATATCTCTAGGCACTGCCACATGTCCTCTGGGGGGCAAAATTGACCTCATCAAGAGCCACTGGGCTAAAATATTTATTATCTGGTCCTCAGAAAATGTTTGCCAGCCTCTGCTCTAGTACACCAGCTGGGCAGATGGTGTGAACCTTGTGATCCCTTTGCCTAGGGTGGATGCTGAGTGGCTAAACCCCTGCAATACTTGGGCTTATCTGGATTATGCTATAGCTACCAGGGATTGGCATAACTTTTGTCCAAGCAGAATACAAGCTGCATGTCAGGAGTGGATTTCCTTATAAAGCTATTTTTGGTCTTCATGGCTTATTTGTGAATGTGCCCCTGTTCTATTTTGGTAGTTCACAATTGGGTGATCCTGTTGGTGTAAAAGTGAAGAGCATAAGAAAGCTTAGGTACCTCTGGGAAGGTTGCTTTGAGGAAGATCTTAAGGGAGGAGACACTTGGCATCTGGAAGGCTAGAATCCAAAGTGTTCTTCAGCTTCATAGAGTGGGTGGAGGGCTTGGTGGTGCGGTGGTAGAATTCTCAGCAAGCATACAGGAAACGTGGGTTCAGATCCTGGCCAATGCACCTCATGCACAGCCAGCATGTCTGTCAGGGGAGGCTTGTGTTGCTGTGATGCTGAACAGGTTTCAGTGGAGCCTCCAGACTAAGGTGGACTAGGAAGAAAGACCTGGCGATCTACTCCTGAAGTCAGGCAATGAAAACCCTGTGGAGTACATTTCATTTTATTGTATACAGAGCCACTATTTGTCAAGGTCCGACTCAACAGCATAACAATAGCATAGACAGGAGACTACAGCAGCATTAAGGTAGTGGCAGCTGTAGATAGACTGCTGTGGGACCTGGAAGCTGAGAAGAGCACCCCCAGCTGAAAACCTGCCCCATCTTTGCAGAGACAAAGGCACCCTTGGAGCCCTGTCCTTGAAAGACGAGTGGTGTAGGAGGCAGTAGTTTCATTACTTCGAGCTGCTGACTGCAGGGTAGGTGACAGAGAGGTGGGTGACGGCTGTTGGTGCTCTAACTTCCCTGTCTTCCCAGTGCTCCCAGCAATCTTCCTTAGCAAGAAGATTGTGGGCATTGCAGCCCTCGCCCGTGGCCCAGCCTTGGGACATGAGGAAAGTCGATAGATGAAGGAAGAATAGCTGTGGGACGCCACATGGTAGAGTGAGTGGGTCCGTTTGTTTTCAGAGCCTGGAACCTGCCCTCACCCACTTTCCTGGCTCATTCTGCATCGGAGCGAGTGTGGAAGGAAGTGCCCCTCCCCTGTGCCTCCCACAGAGTCTCATGAATGGCAAGGCGTGGGGTAGAGGGTCTCACACTTGATGAGCAATGGAACCACCTTTGTAAAAACCAGGGCCTCTGGGTACCCTCCCTGAAAACTGATGTCTTAGGGCTGGATGGAGCTCCGGAATTTGCATTTTGCTAAGTCCTGCAGGGAGCCCTGGTGGCGCAGTGGTCAAAGCGCTCGGCTGCGAACCGAAAGGTCAGCGGTTGGAATCCTACCAGCGGCTCCGCAGGAGAAAGATGTGGCAGTCTGCTTGTGTAACCATTTACAGCCCTGGAAAGCCTATGGGGCAGTCCCACTCTGTCCTGCAGGGTCTCTGTGAGTCTGAATCAATTCGACGGCAGTGGGTTTGGTTTTGGGTTTTGGTTGAGGTCTTGCGGAGCACCCGCACCTGAGGAGCGCAGGTAGGGAGAAGGGCCTAGACCGGCGGCGGGAGGCCGGTTTGTCGCCTGTGCACCTCCTACCTCCTTCGAGGGCGCGGCGGGCCCTTCCCCCAATGCGCTCTCAGCGGAGGGGCAGGCGAGCTGGGTGCCGCCTGCTTAAGAAAGGCCCAACCCGGGCCAAGGTCACAGCACCGCGGGGCCCAGAGGTGCCGCCCCCACCGGGACCCGCCCTCCGGCGCCGGCGGCCCGAGCCCAGGGCGCAGAGGCGGAAGTCCGGGTAGCCAATGATCAGCGTGCGGCCCCAGGGGCGTGTCCGGCTCCGCCGACGGGCGTTGTCCAATGAGCTCGGGAAGGCGTGGTCGAGGCCCGCGTCCTCCAATCCGCGGGGCAGTTTCCAGGGCCGGGCCTCGGGACGAACAGTCCTTCCCTGCCATACGTGGAGGCCTCCCGCTGGGGGCGGGCCCGAGCGGGCCTCCTCCAACGGGCGGTGGCCTGGGAGGGGGCGGGCCCGCCCGAGGGCCGGCAGCGGGCGACCGCTCGCCGATCCCTGGCCAGGCGCAGTT